TGGACAAGGTGGCAGAATGACTAAGTGGACGTCGGGCGGGTTGCCACATCGGAGCGCCCATATCATGCTGATGGGGGTTCAAGGTCCAACAGGTACAGCAGAGTCACCTGAGGGGCCCTGGCCGAACAAAGGTCGAGAAGCTTGGCCGCAGACTCGGCTCCCCGAGGAGGAACACCGCTACCAGTCTGTGTCCTGCACAAATGCACACGCAAAAGAGTGCAGGCGCTGGGCTCTGCCAGGAGCGTGAGGCCCTTGCGGTAAGCACACCGCTCTATGCCCAGAGGCTGAACCACGCCTGGCTTGCAGCAAGCCCTCCATCGCTACTTGCTGAGCAAATGAACACAAGGGCAGGAAGGGAAGAGAGGGCAGAGAGGCCGCAGCAAACCGTTTTAAGCCGAACACGCCCGGGGACAAAGGGATAGCCCATCACAAGGTTGGATATGTAACCCCCCAAAAGGATGTATAACAGACATGTGGGTGAAGGGAGACACAGACAGTGTAAGATACGAGATAACAATAGCACTATATCATTGACCAAGGATTGACGAGGGTGGGAGGGTCGGGAAGGGAAGGGCAACAAGAAGAGCTGATACCGAGGGCTCAAGTAGAAAATGTTTTGGAAACGATGATGGCAACATATGTACAAATATGCTTGATACAATGGATGTATGGAATGTTATGAGAGCACCCCAATAAATATGATTTTTATTATATATAGAGAGAATCAAAATTAAAACTTACACCTGGAAGTGGCCTTCTGGGGATGAGATGCCACAAGCCTGCTGCCTAGTGGCTGCTTTTTCAAAGGAATGCCCAGAGGGGAGAGAATATGCATGTGTGTGTGTGTGTGTGTGTGTGTGTGTGTGTGTGTGTGACTACACACGTTTGGGGGGGAGGGGACTTGAGGCCTCACCTTGTTCCACACCTGCTCGCTGGCTCCCAGAGTGCTCCCCACCAGAGGGTTGACCGCAGCATTGCACACTAGGAAGTCCACGCCCCCACAGTGCTCCAAGGCCTATGGAGAGAGGAGACAGGAGTGGGTGGCTAGGTGTGCAGGTAGCCTGAAAGGTCTTGCCGGCCCAGAGTAGCTCAAGCAGGTGGATCACTCAGACTGGGCTTGCTGACCAGGCACGGCCTTTGGGCCACAAATGGTCTTGCAGCAGTAAAAACAAGCTCAGATGAAGGACAGTCCGGGCCCCCCCCTAGGCTCAAGGGCAGGCTTCCCAGGGCTGTCCGTTCAGGGGAGGAGCTCCTTTTCCCGGAATCCCATGGGGACTCTTCCTCTTTCCGCCAGGCTCTTTCTCAATGGCGACCCTCCCTGGGTGTGAGTTTGAAATGAGTGTCTTCCAGGGAACAGGCCCCTCCCCAGACAATCCCGGTGGCCCACCAGGGGCGCTCAATTTGTCCGTGCGCAGCTCTATTTGTTCTACGACCCGCTGGGCTTGCTGCCCCCGGGCTCAGCAGGGCACGAGAGGATGGGTGTGTCCTCCTTCCCTTCGTCTCTCTGCGCCCTCCCACCCGGGTGGTCTCTCACCGTGGCCACCAGCCGCTCCTGGTCCTCAGCCTTTGCCACGTGGCACACGGTGCCCGTCACGCTCAGCCCCTCGCCCTGCAAGGTGGCGACTGCCCGGTCCACATGCGGCTGCTTCCGACTGCTGATGACCACGTGGGCACCATCCTGAGCGAGACGTCGAGCGATGGCAAGGCCAATCCTGGGCATGGAGATGGAGGAGGCAAGCTCTCTCCCACCTTCCTCCTGCACCCAGCCCCGCTGCACGAGGAAGGCTGTGCCTGCTCCCACCACCCAGGAGTCCCTCCAGATGCAGCCAAGGCACTCACCCGTCAGTGGAGCCCGTGACCACAGCTACTCTGTCGGCCAGGGTGCCCTGCTGGTGTCTCCCTCTGCTGTTCTTCCTCACGGAGAGCCCCACCCAGGATCGAA